AGCTCTAGCTCCAGCTCAAGCTCCAGCTCAAGCTTAAGCTCAACCTCAACCTCAAGCTCAAACTCCATCTCTATCTCTTGCTCTAGCTCAAGCTCCAGCTCAAGCTCAAGCTCAAGCTCCAGCTCCAGCTTAAGCTCAAGCTCAACCTCAACCTCAAGTTCCATCTCCTGCTCAAGCTTGCTACACGACCAATATACCTTAAGAAAACAAAAGTTCCCTGCAACTTTGATATTTACATTACAATTAGGTAGCATTGGGATGAGAGTGAGTGTTATAGTCGACGCCTAGGCGTCCGGTTGGTCGAGATCGAACGCCTAGTGTGCTCACCTCGCCTAAGTGCAGAATACAACCCAAAACTCCACAAAAAGTACATGGGCAGGTGTAATTTCCAATCGGAGAAGTCGCCAAAATCTGCCTCACGCGCTGGCGCGTGGCGTCGGTGTAGCGGCATGTGGTGGCTCCGATGGCAGCGCGGTTCGAGCTCTGGCATCGTCCTCCTGGTCTGATCAAAGCCCACTACCTCACTTTGGCATGTTATCAATAAATACTAGACTTCTCACTACTCTAGAAAAACTATTCATCTTCTCAAGACAACTTGAAGTAAATAGGGTTGCAAAAAGGCTGTCCAAGACAAGATATTTTCAATATATATATATATACTTTTTTATTTATTTAATACTCATCCCCTAATCATCACCTAGGCGGTCGCCTAGTCGACTAGGAAATCGATGGCATCTCGCCTAGAAAGTCCGCCTTGATAACTATGGATGAGACAAACAAAAGTTCAAGGAAATTATAGGACTATGCCATTTATTTATCATTTGTTGGACTATTGAGCTCATCTTACCCAAAAACTATCATAACCAAGTCATGATGTGACACCTAATATATCCTTTTTATAGGTAACTGAAAACTATAATATGCATGATGTAATGTGAGTGTGTGTTTGTGAGTATTTTCAAATCTAATATATTCACAGCTCTGTTTTCTAAAATACACATATCTTGATCACAAGGATGCATGTACACACTTAATATTAGCTTCCTATAAAAAAAATGTCAACAAGTACATTGTGCAAACTTTTGCTTAAGAAAAAACAAAAAGAAGCTAGTTACTTCACCATTATAAAGCTCACACTAGACAATTAGAAATTGAATTACAAGCAAATGAAATAGAAAGCATGACCGCACAAGTATGCAGAAAGATTAGTACTTCTAGATGAAAGGGAACTGAAAGGGTGCTGAAACCTGAATGGGAGTTGGAAGCTGAAAGCGTAGCTGAAAGCTGAAAGGGAGTTGAAAGCGGAAAGGGAGGAGCTGAAAGCGAAAAAGGAGCTGAAAGCGAAAAAGGAGCTGAAAGCAGAAAATGAGCTGAAAGCGAAAAGGGAGGAGCTGAAAGGGACTTGAAGGGGAGCTGAAAAGGAGCTGAGAGTTGAATGGGAGCTGAAAAGGAGCTATAGCTGAAAGGGGCTGAAAACTGAAAGGGAGCTGAAATGGAGCTGAAAGCTGAAAGGGAGCTGAACGCTGAAAGGGAGTTGAAAAAAAGCTGAAAGGGATCTGAAAGCTGAAAGGGAGCTGAAAATGAGCTGAAAGGGAATTGAAAGCTGAAATGGAGCTGAAAGTTGAAAGGGAACTGAAAAAGAGCTGAAAAGAAGCTGAAAAGGAGCTGAAAGCTTAAAGGGAGCTGAAAGCTTAAAAGGAGTTGAAAGGGAGCTGAAAAGGAGCTGAAAGCTGAAAGGGAGCCGAAAGCTGAAAGGGAACTGAAAAGGAACTGATAGCTGAAGGGGAGATGAAAAGGGAGCTGAAAGCTGAAAATGAGCTGAAATGAAGCTGAAAGCTGAAAATGAGCTAAAATGGAGCTGAAAGCTTAAAAGCTATAAGCTCGGAGGTTAAAAGAGTTGTTAAGCTAGCTGTTATGATTGAAAGTGTTTGGTAAAATTAGCTTTTTGATAAGCTGATAAATATAAAAAGACTAAAAATGACATCTTCATAAAATTTAAATTAGTTTGTTTACATTTTAAAATTTAACATTTTGTCTTTTAAAAAATTAACATTTTGAAATAAAACTATTAGCATAATCATGATCTAGCATTTCAGGTAGCGTTCCAAAATAAGCTCTTATTTTAAGGTATGAGTTTATTTTGGGAACATTACCAAACAGAGCTTATTTTGAGAACATTACCAAACAGAGCTTATAGCTTATTAGTAGCTTAAAATTACCAAACAGAGCTTATAGCTTAAAATAAGCTATAAGCTCCTAAATAAGCTCTGCCAAACAAAACAGGTATCTGACTTGACCTTTACTTGGACAGTATCTGAGTTCAGTAACTTGGGCAGTGAAATTTGTTATACATATTTAAACAAAATATTTATAAATACATTCTTATATATACTTACTATGTCCCATTTTAATTTTCATGTTAAGTTGTTTACTATTCATTAGGCAAACCAACTACTTATTCTATGCTTATTTTTTAGTATTGTTTAATTATGTTTGTGTTTAATAGTATTTTAATGTAGTTTCTAAATATATAAATTTTATATACTAATACTAAACTTAGGGGGGTGTATTCAATCATGAGTTTTGTAGAGTTTTAAAGACTTTTATGAACTTTAAAAGTTTGGAGGTATTCAATTCAAACTTTTAGAGAGTCTTTGAAAGTCAGGCAGTATTCAATCAAGATTTTTAAAGAGTCTTTAAAAGTTGTGTGGTATTCGATTAAGACTTTTAAAGAGTCTTTAAAAGTCATGTGGTATTCAACAAGTTATGAACTTTTGTAGACTTTTTAATTGTAAGACTTTTGTAGACTTTTCCTTCTCAAATATAAATAGTTGAAATCCAACCATCTACCTCAAGATTTCAAAATTTTCTTTCTAACAACTTTGAATGTTTTCTCTCTCTATTTAAACTCTATTTTTCTCCACTTTAAACTTTATAAACCTATTTAAATTCAATAAAATTATTTTTTTTCTTCATTATCCTACATTTTCCTCATACCTAAACTCTACCAAATTTTCTCTCTCTCTCTCCTACACTTTACCATCTTCATCTAAAAATTCGAAATAATATTATTTTTATTTCATTATTGCTTGTTTATATTGATTTTCATTATTTCTATGAATTTTTTATCCCTAACTTTCTCTAATTCTCCCTAAATACATGAACAAAGTAAAATTTTCATCCTCAAATTTTAGTATATGTTTCATAATATTCATACAAATACTTATATATTTTGATATTTATTCTTTTTATATTTATATTCGTAATATATATATATATATATATATATATATATATATATATATATATATATATATATATATATATATATATATATATATATATATATATATATATATATATATATATATATATATATATATATATATATATTTAACAACATGTTACTAAGAATATTGAACTACTGTTCGCAATAACAATTTGGGGTTGCAAACAGTAGCACCTTGTTGTTATTTATAGTCTCAAATTGCTATTGCAAATAATATTTCTTTGCGTGATGTCTAGCAATAAAAGTATAATTATAATTATATATATATATATATATATATATATATATATATATATATATATATATATATATATATATTAGATTCTTATTTATTTATTTATTTTTTGCAACTTGTAATTATATTTTTAAATACTTTATTTGATCAATTCTTTTATTATAAATTTTATTGTTCAATATTGTTATGAATTTCTAATGAAATAATTTTTTTTGTTGATGTTTATTAATAATATATATATAAGTAATTAGCATATAAGTCTCAACATACTATGAATAAAAATAATAATGTTGAGAATGCTGATGAGAGTGGAGAACTATATAATAAGAAAAAATTTATAATATATTATAAATGTTTTGTAAGAAAATCATAAATGATAAGAATTAAAATCATTGAAAGTTTGTAAGAGTGTATTTAATTTAGAATTTCAATGACTTTTGTAAACTTTTTAAAATAAAAAGTTAATAAAAGTCTATGAATGTTTTTTATATAGACTTTTATTGAGTCTTATAAAGTTTTTAAAAGTTTTGAACGACTCTATGAAAGTGGATCAAAGTTTAGTAAAATCTATCATTTTAAAAGTCTTTAAAACTCTACAAAAGTCATGATTGAATACACCCCCCTTAACATAAATTTTCTAAATACTACATATACCAAAAATTAAAAAAATTAAAAAAAATTAAAATAAATTTACAAAATAAAATAACAACTTTAAAAAAAAAAAATGGAAATCAAGTCGAGGTCTGTTCAAATTTTGGGTTAACAAAACTTGTTCATAATCAAACCAAAATTTGTTCAAAATCAAATCAAAATCAAGCAGAAAATCTGTTCGAAATCAAATCAAAATCAAGCCGAAAATCTGTTCAAAACTTGGGTTAACAAAATTTGTTCAAAATGAAGCCGAAAATCTGTTAAAAATTTGGGTTAACAAAATTTGTGCGAAATCAAATCAAAATCAAGCCAAAAATATATTCGATCAAATCAAATCAAACCAAGATAATTATTAAGAATAAAATAAACTAATTCTAACGACCAACACACAAATAATCGTCAAGTACCAGATGACATGTACTGATCTCTCACATGTCGGAGGTCGGTGTTGTGGACTCTTTGTTTCATTAGGTTGAAAAAATATATTTGAACCGATACTACAATGTAATAGCGTAAGTAGCATTCATAAAAAACAAACAAATAATCCTAACAACCTAAATATAAAATAATTCTAAAATATTTTAATGGTCATTCTTGTGGGCGCAATAAAAGCAATGGGTCACCCTTGTTAGGACTCTTATGGTAAATATATACACTCCTAGTTGTTCTATAACTCTATCGTATGCATATTTATTCATGTTGTAATCCTATACGTACATGAATCAGAACTCTATTCACTTTATAACCCCCCTAGGCCGCGCTATTGCACAATAGGGTTTTAACAGTGGTTTCTTGTTTCTTGGGACCCAAGTTGGAAGAGCAATAATGGGAAACAACATCCCTAGACAACGACAACCTTCCTCTTCTGCAGGTATTTTGCTAATTTTACTCAAATATATTAGCATGCACAACCAGAGAGACCACCGGAAAGTGATCTTCAAGTCAAAAGCACAAAGTGGTTGGAAATAGCAATAAATTAAGGTTTTTCTGGATACCAAAAGTGATCGGAACAAGGCTTTTGACTTGATTTAAGTTCACTTTCAGCTGGTCGAAAATTTCATAATTTCCAGCAGTGATGCAGTCTTTTATGTTTAATTATGTGATGCAGGCTATGAGTACTTACTTTTGGTTGTGCAGTAGAAAATAAATGGGAAAGAGATATATATAGCACCTTCAATTCCCTACAGTTTTCTATCATACTTTAATTTGTGTATACAATGTTAGTTGGAACTAAGCTATACTTATTGATACCTTTTGTTTTTGCAATGCAGAGAGGCGGGTAAGAAACATACCACCCTCACATTTTATACTGAGGATTGAATCATTCTCCAAACTTACCAAGATGCTGTTCGAGGGGCAAACCCAATTTTTCAACTCCAAAGTTTTCGAAGCTGGTGGCTACAAATGGTTGAGAATATATATAATTTTCCACTATGTTTGTACAATTAGCTTAATTATTAAATTAATTAGCAGTCAAGTTTGTCTTTAATTTCATTGCTGATGTGGTGGCCTGGCAGGGTATTCTCTATGTATCCCAATGGTGTTCGTGATAGTAAAGGCCACATTTCTGTGTTTTTGCGTATTCAAGACACAACTGCATTGCCTTTGGGTTGGGAGATATACACAAATTTGAAGTTTTTTTTATATGATAAGAAACATGACAGATACACGATTTTTCAAGGTACCTTTGCTTTTGTGTGTTTCTAGTAAGTTGGGTTGATTTCATGCACAGAGTTTATTGCTAATATTGTTCTTTTTGTTATTTAGAATTTAGAATAGACAAGTTTCATTATTTGAGACAAGAATGTGGTATCTCGAAATTGATCCCTCGCTACGAGTTTGATGATGCTGCGAATGGGTATCTTGTTGATGACACATGTGTTTTTGGTGTTGAAGTTTTTGTGCTACATTTTAAATCCGTCCAACAACATTTGAGCCCTCCAGTCAAAGTTGGTGAAACCTATACTTGGAAGGTAGCAGGTTTCAGTAATATAAGCAAAGTTTGTTGCTCCGATGAATTTACTGCAGCTTCCTTAAAATGGTAGGTCATTTTTATTTAGAGTTCAAGATTGTTTTTTTTATATATATATAATTATGGTAATTTTAAGATTTCACATTTTGTTTTTGAATCTTTCAACAATTTTTTCATAGGAAAGTGGCACTCTGTCCTCTTGGAGGGAGTAAGAGTCCGAACGGGTTAAACCTTGGTTTGTATTTGACGCTTGTTGATCCAGAAGTTACCCCCAACGCATTGCTTGTACATTTTATGTTATCTATAAGGAATCAGGGGAAATATGGGAAGCATCAAGTGAAGCAATGTATGTGAAGTTTATATACGTGTATATGTGTGCCATTTGATTTTTTTTTTTTTTTTTTTTTTTTGTGAACTTTAATGTTTTGTTTGTTCTTGCTTTATTTTGTAGCTTGTTGTTGCTTTTTTACTTCTGGATTTTGTTGGGGCTGGCGCTCGTTTATGCCGCTGGCTGATCTCCGAGATTTATCTAATGGCTTCATGGTTAATGATTGCATTATTATTGAAGCACATATCAAGAATGTGTCCATCATTCGGTAGCTAAACTATTAGTAACTTATCATACATATTGGGTTGTACTTGGTTGATAATTTTATGGTTAGGGTTCTTTCTTCTTTTTTTTTCGTTGAAACTAATATTATATTACAAGTTTTATAACACCCCTTCTTCAAGTTTTTGCATGGCTTTGTTTTATTATTTTGTGAAGTGTTAATTTACGTCATTTTTGCGGGAGTTTGCTCGAAACTGAAAGCTGAAAATGAGCGGAAAGTTAAAAAGCTATAGGTTAGGAGCTAAAACTGAAAAGTTGTTAAACTAGTTGTTATTCGATAGACTGATAAATGTAAAAAGACTAAAAAGGACATCTTCAACAAATTTAAAGTAGTTTGTTTACCTATTAAAATTTAACATTTTGTCTTCAAAAAAAAAAATTAACATTTTGAAATAAAACTATGAGTGAATTCCATTTTTTGTCCTACTGTTATAGGGGTCATCCAACTTTAGTCTATCATAATTAATTTTGCCACATTGCGTCCACTATTATTAAAAGTGTTCCAATTTTAGTCCACGAAAAATTTAAAAATGGGCTAAAATTTGAAACACTTTTAATAATAGTGGATGCAATGCGGCAAAAATAATTATGGTGGACTAAAATTGAAAAAGTCTATAACAGTAGGACCAAGGATTTTAATTAGGAAGGATAAATGATGGCATTTCTTTAAAATAATAAGGATAAAGATTGAAAAAAAAGTTAGGAAGCTAGTAGTGTTTCAAAATAAGCTCTTATCATTTGTTACTAGAACAAAATTAGATGCTCATCTTCAACACATGATTTCCTTTCTCACACTACTCTATCAAAGTCGTCAATGGTAAATATGCATTAATTTTTTAGAAATAGGCACACAACCAAACCACCATATCACAAAATTAGATGAATTAACACCAACACCCATAACTAAAATAATCTCAAACTTTTTCTTCTTTTTAACTCATAAATATCATCAACCTAACATTCACAACTTTCAAATATGGAAAATTCAACAATAAAATTAGAGTAAGAAAAAACATATATAGGGATTTAAGGCCTTAATGAAATTATGAGATAGGGATAAATAGAATTAGAAAATTAAGGATTAGGGTTTAAGATTTGAGGACTATCCTATAGGATATATGGTAATGGACACGGCAATTAGCAACGGCATTGGCTCGATGGCGACAACGACGGGAAGAGGATGTCATGTCTCGACGGTGGCGGAGGCGGGAAGAGACGACTTTGGTGGATGAGCGACGGCGACGAGGAGGCTAAGCTAAGACGTCTAGATGGCGTGCGGAGGGAGATCGGATGGCCAAGAAGGCTGAGAAGATGAGTTAGTTTGAGCTGTGAGTTGAGAAGAGTTTGTGACGAGGAATGACAATGGGAGCAGGGTACTGTTTTGAGCGAAATTTTGTGAAATTTCGAATCGCTAAAATAATCCTAAATTAATTTTTTTTTAGTATGATAGGTTAAATGGGCATTATTACCTCCCAAGGAAGAATATGTGTCATTGTATTTAGAGCTGGTTGATGAAAAGATTACTTGTGATAAAGTGTCTGTACGTCTCATCTTATGCATAAGACACCAGAACTCTGGGAGTGGCATTATGTATGAAAGTATGTAAAGTAGTTTACATATCAAATCATTTGTAGACCATTCTAATTATTTGTTAGCATGCATTTAAGTTAATAATTTGTTCTATTTTGTTTTAATTTTTGAAGCTGTCGCATTCTTTACTCCTAAATCTAGCTGCTGGGACCGGAATAAATTTGCGCGGTTGACTACTCTCCAAGAATTGTCAGAGGGTTTCCTGGATAGCAGCAACGCCCTCATCATTGAGGTACATATCAAGAATGTGCGCACCATCGACAGTTAATCTAGTTTGTATTGCTTAATTAGTACAGTTAGCGATCGTATTAATGTTTTAGAATGGTTGGATTTTACGCTATTGTTTCAGTGAGATTGAATAATGTTAAACTACACATCGTTATAGATGACAAGTTGCCTTGCCTCCGAGTAGAAGTTGATCAGGGATAGGTATATATATTTCCAATTCTCCGTCGGGGTCGGGGTCGGTGTCATGAGAACGGGGATAGGGAGTCTACCCCCGCTCCCACCCTACCATCCCGACACGTCGTTATTTGCATCAAATCTTTAATATATTGATAACAATCAAATTATTTAACCCTCACGGGTAATTTAGTTGATTTTGGGCAAAAAGTTGCACATAATGACGCAAGAATGTAGAGTGTCATATGGGGGTGCAAACTTTGGTGAAAGTTTGATGGGGTGCAAACTTCAGTGAAAGTTTGGTTAATCGTTCTTTAACCAAAAAATTTGGGCCCGGTTAATGGTAAGGATTTGTAAAATTTCAGTTAATTCGGTTCAAAACTATCCATTAACTGAATTAACCGAACCGTTAACCGAAATATGTGTGTGTGTGTGTGTGTGTGTATGTTTGGACTTTATAATTTGTGCTTTTGTGTTTGTAGATTGTAGTGTTGTTATGGTATTGTGTTTGCATTTTTTTTAATGAATTTATTATTATAGGTATTATTTAAAGATTTAAAATTTTAGCTTACAAAAATTCGATTAATCGGTTAACCGACCAATTAATCAAAAAAAAAAAATCGATTCGGTTAATTTGGTAAAACAAAGTTCGGTTCATTTCGGTTAAACTTTTAAAAACTTCGGTTAAAATGGTTTGAAAGTCGTCGAGTTACTATGAATTAATTTATTTACACTCCCCATTGGGCCAAGAATTTTACATTTTGCACCCAAGTATATGAATTAAACTAGAATAATATAATGTTACCCTCATCCTTCATTAATAATTTTTTGGGGAAATTATAATAGATAACTTATTATTCCTTAATTCAAAAAATAATCGATTTAATAAATATATGACCTTTTGAATTCTAGCTTAATGCATTTCTGTTTAGGTGAGTCTATTGTCTCAGATTCTTATCGTGAATCAGGTCAATATGAAAATGTAATGCTAATTATGAATACATTGTTTGATACTTATAACATTACATTGGAAAATTATAATATTTTTGAGGAAGCATGTAATATTTTTAATTCAAAATACAATTTGAATAATTATATTACTTATTAGAAAATTAAAGGTTTAATAATATTCATGAATAAATTTATTTATTGTTAGTATGAATGAAAATATAATACTTATGAAGAAAAAAAGTGATACTTTTAATGAAAAATATAATATTTCTAAATTAAAATGTGATATAACTATATAAGGCGTTGAGAGTTACTTGAGAAAAATTATACGGAGTAATACTTATAAATGTTCTACCCATCTCACTTATCATCTTATAGGAGATTTTGCCTTCAATCTTATTTATTTGTTTACTATATGAACCATGTAGCATATTCGTACTTTTACTATTTACAAATAGTTACTCCACAGTACTATACACGTGATTAAAGATTAAGAAAAAAATTACAATTAAAAAAAGAAAAACTAGTATTCCGTATTTAGCATTTTTAATTTACACATTATATAATAATAGGTTCATGAGTGATAATTGTAAAAGTGTTTATCATTTTCTTACTCTATTTTATTTGACAAACAATTATATAACACTAGGGATTACAAATGTAACATTATGAACAATTAAAGAGCTAAATTTGTTTAAATTAATTTACATGTGCCAAAATCCAAAAAGTGAAACAATTCAATAGCTAAGAATGATGTTTTTTTCTATATTTTATTATTTCTCGAACTTAATACATTATAATAGGAAATATTCTCCGAATATACTTCCCTCTACGTACAGTATACCTGCTCGGTATCAGGTCAGATCACCGAGAGGAATCATTCCCGACCTTGACCGACCACTAGCTTAATTGATGTGCCGCCCGACCTAAACACGACGACCAAGAAAATGCTTCGTCAACATTAGACTTTGTTCCGCCCTAGGGTCGACCTCGACCTTAGGTCGGGAAGTTTACCCCGAGCAATACTACTTAAAGATTGAAACCCATATTCCTAACTTTGTAAGGAACACATCACTTAGTGGATGATCAGGAATATTGCACACACATGGACATCGTTGCATTGTTCCCGAGCTAACCAATTACATGCGCGACACGTGTCAGACATGCCGATAGTCCGTCATATATGTCTTAAAATTCACCATATATACCATATTTAATGCTGAAAAGATGAACTTTTTAGCATTATTTCGACTTACTATACTATAACTCATAACTCTCTTACCTTACATTGTCGTTCAAACTTAATAGCTTAAACCAACAAGTAAACCAGTCAAGGATCTTTATACGATCCGATTCTAATACTTATACATATTTGTGAAATACTTCCGTATTTATCACATCACTTTATTGTGCAAGTCTATGCCAATCTGCTTCCTCCTAATCTCCTATGATGTGTATTTTATTTTATTTTTGTTAGTCCAGCTTTAAAAATAAATAAACATAAAGTATAGATTAAAAACGGCATCGTTCCGGGTTGTGGTTTTAAATCAATTTACCTGACCGCCAAAAGTAAAACCTACCGCTCTTCGCTCGCCTTCACAGACCACAGCTCCTCGCCACTGATCGTCTACTCCACCGTCGACCACCTCCTTATCGGCGGTGCTACTATCAACCTCCCACCGCCGCTTCCAATCTGCCAAGCGCCTCAGGTATATTATTATTATTATTATTATTATTATTATTATTATTATTATTATTATTATTATTATTATTATTATTTTTCCTTCATCAATTTATCAAAATAGTTGCACGGAAATCGAAGAATGAAAAAAGGTCTTTGGTGAAATTTGAGTCATAATCAGTGTTATTGTGTCAATTTTCTAGTCTTGCAATATGCCAATATCTGTTATTTGTAACATCAGTTAAGTGAATCTGTAGCATTACAATATACAAATATACCACTGCAAGTGTATGTCTGTGTGTATTTGTGTTGATTTTGTTATGATAACTAAACTAAGAGAGGAGACAAGAGTTTGAATAGTTCTATTATTGTGCTGAGTTTTGAAAGAGCCTGTCTGATTTCTTCTTTCTTCGAACAGAAATTGATAGAGCAATAATGTCAACCGACTCCTCAAGTGAAGAAGATTCCTTTACTGGTTTTTGCTCTTTTTTACTCTCATTTAATTTACTGTGGAATAATATGAGCAGTCTTTTACATTTCTTTGATGTGTATATAATGTTGGAGTTACTTAATTGTTACTTTTGGTTTTCGTAGATGTATGTAACTACAGAGATAGAGCACCTTCCCATTACCTACTACATGTTGAATCATTCTCCAGTCTTACTAAGATGCTAAAGGAAGGCGGACTTCAGTGTTACAAGTCTAAAGTTTTTGAAGCTAGTGGCTATAAATGGTTTTGCTTAGTTTTTCAACTTATTTTATTACTGAAGTATATATTGTTTAATTTCCATTCATTGCTCAAATGATGGAGTTGTTTTGTGGTGATAGGAAATTATCAATCTACCCTAATGGTGATGCAAGTAGGAGTAGTGAGGGATATATCTCTATGTTTCTGTCTATTGAAGACACATCTGCATTGCCTAAGCGGTGGGAAATATACACAAATTTGAAGTTCTTTATATTTGATCAGAATCGTGACAAATACTTGATCTTCCAAGGTTGATTTTGACGTCTTTATAATGGATTGGATTGTGTTCGAGAGTCATTAATATCGCTAATATGTTTGAGAATGTTGTTCTTATGATTATTTAGATGATCAAGTAAGCAGGTTCCATCAATTGAAACGAGAATGTGGCGTCAAGGAATTGATCTCTCGTGATGAATTTGATGATGCTGCCAATGGGTGCCTTGTTAATGACAGATGTGCTTTTGGAGTTGAGGTTTTTGTGCTTGATTCTAAGTTTTCTGGAGAATGTTTGAGCCCGTCAGTAAAAGTTGATAAAACCTATACTTGGAAGGTGTTTAAGTTCAGTCATTTGGGCGGCGACGGTACAATTCATTATTCTAAGGAATTTGATGCAGAGTCTTTCAAATGGTGAGTGATTAAGTTTTCATTTTAATTTCTAGTTTGGTATTCATAATTATGTCAATTCTGAAAGTCGATTTATCAGGAAGTTGGCATTCTACCCGCGCGGAAATCGCAAGCCATACGGGAAACACCTTTCTTTGCATTTGGAGCTTGTTGATCCGGGAATCACTTCTCCTAGACTCCTTGTGCATTTCGAGTTATCCGTACTAAACCAGAAATCTGAGAACCATATAGAGGCTAAAGGCATGTATTGTTTGATTTAAATAATGGGTCAATCTACTTATGTATATATTGATTTAAAATAATTCTTTCAATTCTGTTTTAATTTGCAGCTTGTGAATATTTTGATCATCAATCTTCATTCTGGGGCTGGGATGAATTTGCGCTGTTGACTGATCTGCGGAACGAGACTAATGGCTTCATTGTTGAAAATTGCTTGATCATTAAAGCACACATCAAGACTCTGTCAATCATAGACAGCTAAGCTTCTTCTATTTGCAACTAAATATATATGGTATTAGTAAAAATGGTGGAACGTGTGCTAAGGTCCCCGAATGGAGTATTAAGTTTTTGACATTAGAAATGCGGACGCATGTGTTTAATGTTAGATTGGAAATTAATAGTTTTGTGTTAACATTATCCCAGGTTGATTTACTAGTCTTATTACTTTATGGTTTGATGCATGATTACTTACAAGGCGTACCGGGTTCACAGAATAATTTACCGTATAATGATTGGTCCCATCCATGTAGTTCTAGACTAGTTTCAATATAATTTGGTCCATTTATCATTACTTATGTTGCATGAACAATCTCAATGACAGAGCCGCTATCTCTGTAAGTTGTCAGTCGCTGCTATTAATAGATTGACCAATTTAGTTGTAGTTGTTCTGGTTTTTAATTATTGGTGCTATGTGTTTGTTGCATTGTTGTTCAATTATTCTCTAATTTGGGTGATGCAGTGTTTTTGTTACTTAGTTACGTTGTGAAAATGATGTTTTTGTGTTCACAATGAGAAACATTACAAGATCAATAGAATTAAAGGATTTAAAGCACCACTGTTTGAAATGGTAACAGAGGAGTTATTAAATTACATAATAGTTGGTGGAAATTTTTCTTTAGATAAATTAAGTTCAAGAATTCTTGAATGGAAGGAAGGGTCACCAAAGTACAATAACATTTACGTGCAACCCAATCGGGTAAAGAACTATAAGCATAACTTATTGATTCAAATTTAGAAGGATAATGACTAGCTTAAACTAAGGAGTCAATATGACACTTCCACTGAAAAATTAATTTCTGAAAGCTGTATTTATAGTTATATGATACTTGCTAAAAGTAAGCATTATTATTATAGAATAAAATAAAATGATTATTGGAAACCAAAAGGTCTCCTACGCATTGCTATTGAATTATTTAAATCAAAATACTAGTGCAATTATGTGCTCAACCCATGCGCTATTATAAGGAAAAAGTAGATAAAAGTTGAAAAGCTATTGAAAATTGAAGAGTTGTTAACTAGCTGATTATGCTTTAAAATGTTTGGTAATAATAATATAAACTATTTTTTATAAATTTGATATTTATATTTTAAGAAATAACTTATATATATTTTTTGAAGTTAAATAACTTATATAATACTCCAATATATAATGTTTATATATTATTGAAGAGAATAAGAAAATATATGGTGGAAGGTAACAATAGTTCAAAAAGATAATGAAAGTTATAACGGTATGATATTTCTGATCAAAATATTGTATAATATAACTCTTATAGCATGATGTATATAAAAAATAACGAAAAAAAACAAATATAAATAAAGGATATAACCTCTATTTACGTTTATTAATTTTTAGATTAGAATTATATTAAACTAGGTTCTCCACAAAATCGCACATTACCGCATCACAAAATAATGAAACAAGGCACTAATAAGGCACAATACTAACACAAAGCTACCACATTTAATAGCAAAACCATGGCAAAAGCTCCAATGAGGTGTTATAAAACTTGAGTCTTTCAACCAAAACCCAAAAAAAAAAAAAAAAAAAAAAAAAAAAAAACCCATAAAATTAGAAACAAAGTACAACCCAAATTTCTCCTTGCCAGCACGCATAATAAGTTACCCAAATTTCTCCTTACCAGCATGCATTAGTTTAACTAGTAAATGACAGACACATTCTTGATACATGCTTCAATCATAATACAATCATCAACAATGAAGCCATTAGATAAATCTTCAAGATCAACCAGCGGTATAAACGAATCCCAACCCCAACTTAAAGTTCCAGGAGCAAAGCAATCACAACCTACAAAAGAAAACAAATCATTAAAAAGTAAACAAACATCTAAAATGTCACAATTATATGACATATGTAACTTATACCTTGGTGGCCATGATGTTTCTCTGACTTTTGATTTATAATGCGTAACATGAAATGTACAAGCAGTTCATTAGATGTAATTCCTGAATCAACAAACTTCATAAACAAACTGAGATTTAGCCCGTTAGACTTCTTACTCCCAAGAAGATCGAGTAACAATTTCCTGCAAAAATTGTTGAAAGATACAAGAACAATACGTTAAATATTAAAATTGTCATAATTACAAAACAACAATCTTGAACACTCTACAAAAATACCTACCACATGAAAGAAGCTGCAGTAAATTCATTGGAAGAACACCTTTTGCTGCCAATTTTACTAAAACTTGATACCTTCCAAATGTAGGTTTTATCGACTTTCACTGAAGGGCTCACATGTTGTTCTACAAACTTAGAATGTAACACAAAAACTTCAACACCAAAAACACATATGTCATCAACCAAATACCCATTTGCAGCATCATCAAACACAACACGAGGTACCAATTTCGAGATACCACATTCTTGTTTGAAACAATGAAACATGTTTATACCCCGTTCTAAATAACAAAAAAGAACAATATTAGCAATACTAATGACTCCCTGAACCAAATCCAATTTACTAGAATGACACAAAAACAACCTTGGAAAACCGAATATTTGTTATGCTTCTTATCAAATATAAAAAACTTTAAATCTGCGTATATCTTCCAACCCAAAGGCAATGTATCTGTATCTTTAATACACAAAAACACAGAAATGTGCCCTTTACTATCACCAACACCATTGGATACATAGAGAATATCCTGCCACCACAAAGAAACTCACTTCAGCAATGAAATTAAAGATCATTACAACCACAAACTTGACTACTAATTTAAGCCAACTCACTGCATCTGCCAAAACAAAACTTATCAAATAAGTAGTTCCAACAATGTATACACAAAGTATGATAAATAAAAAAAAAAAAAAACAGAGTAAACAGATCAAAAACCAGTAGAGGTATGCTCTGGACTTGAGACGTTTTTCGACATTATTTCTCTCACAATTCTTGTCTGGAGAAACCTAAACTTTCGTCTTTATATAGGCTCATAGCTAAGGAGCTCTGTTTGGTAATGTTCCTAAAAGAATATAGTAACTTAAGGGCTTATTTTGAGAAGTTGCCTTATGTAGGACTTTATAAATAAGTTAACGAGCTTTCTATATTTTATTCATCTTTATATGAGATATATTTAATTAATAATATAAAACAATATAATAATGGCATCATTTAAATTTGGAATATAGGTCAAAATAAACTCTTAAACTTTACTCAAAACTTTTGAGTAAAGTGAGCGTTCAAAAATGTACATAATGTTATACTAGAATACACATAATTGTATACATGAATGTACATAATTATATAACAAAATATACATACTCTTTTTAAAAGATAATACACATAATCTAACATAATACATAATAAACATAAACTTTTAACATAATACACATTAACTCTTTACATAATACACACAAATTTTCTGATTCGAATGTACATAATTGTATAAAAAGAATGTACATAATTGTATAAAAATGTACATAACTGTATGAACAAATATACATAATTGTATGAACAAATATACATAATTGTGTGAACAAATATACATAATTACAGCAACTTCCTACTTACGCCTCCCAAAACGACGTCGTTTTGAGAGGCGCGCGGCGCACAGTGCTACGCGCGCCGTGGTGTAGGGTATAACGATTGTTAACATTATCCCCTGTTGATTTACTAGTCTTATTATTTTATAGTTTGATGCATGATTACTTGATTAGTCTCTAATTCTTGATTTAATTGGTAATTTTTCAATAACCACCCATTCTTAGAGACTCCGATCTATAATTGCATTTGTTGCCGCTTGTTAATTTCACTTTATGGTATCATGTGGATCTCTCATACTTTAAGGGAACGTATAAGGACAAATTTTATTATGTACTATGCATCAAAATGCATTTAAGTAATGAACTTCATGTACACCATAAATGAGCCTTGAATATGGCAAATTATGCTGTGGAATTGTGTCCACCTTGCATTCCAAAATTGTTCATAACTATGAATATAAAGTTCAAAAATTATGAACATATAATTCTATAATTATGAACATAAAGTTCTGTAATTGTAAATATATAAATTCAATAATTGTGAATATGAAGTTCAAAAATTATGAATATATAGCTTTATAATTATGAACATAATTGTGAATGTAGAGTTTAATAATTAATGAATATGAAGTCCACAAATTATGAATATATAGCTTTATAATTATGGACATATAATTCAGTAATTATGAACATCAGAACATAGAATCGTACGTGTCCACCTTGCAAGGTGGACACGGTTCCACAACAAAACGATTGCTAGAATATACATGACTAAATATTCAACATTTGCTCAATTTATAGATGCTCAAATAATGAACTTTATACACAAAAATAATGAACCCTCAAGTTGTACGTTTTCATACTATTGTGTATACATTCAAACAATGAATATTATGTAAAAAAAATAATAATGTACCTTATTGTAGTATCTGTTCATATACTTTCTCAACCTACTAAAACACAAAGAGCTAATAACGCCTCCACTGAGGCTCGAGAACTCACAACCTTCCAAATGGAAGTCCAACCCGGGTACCATTGGACCACATAGTCCTGGTAATGTACAGTTAACCTATTATGTATAATGTACAGTTAACTTATTATGTGTCTAAGTGTCTGTAGTTAACATATTATATGCATGTAATTGACATAATATGTGCATTCAACTTATTTACAAATATATAATTAGTCAAACGGTCGCCCCGCAGCTAGGTGTAGGTTAGTAGTTCGCGGCGACAGAGTCGTTGTCTCTGCAAATTGTCAGTCGCCGCTTTGCAAGTGCAAGTTGATTTTTATTACTTGTCGTGTAAGATAGGTTTTCCAGATTGCAAGTTACGTCACATCGTAGGCCTACGGGTCAACCTACAATAAGTCGGCCGGGTGACACTCCGACGAGGCGATTTCAAAGGTGATTCGAGAACACCTTCACCTGTCACTTGGCCTGTTAATGTAAGCGACACGATTGGTGTTGGACTGCTTGTAATGCCTTGATGTCATTTTATTAGGATCAATTGTCTTGATTTTTTAAATAAACTTTATTAGTATTGGACTGCTTGTAATGCCTTTCAAGCAACTGAAGTAAGCGTGGTGTTTTCAATTCCCTTATATGCATATCAGCCACTTTTTTGTATAAGTTGTTTCCTTACGAAGCACATGGTGCTTCAATTTCCATATATACTTATCAGACGCTTTGTTTTCTTTTTTGAATAAGTTGTTTCCTAGCAAACAGTTTGAATTCAAAACATGTAAAAGTTTTACTTTTGGGTTCTGAAATTGCCTATCAAGTCTGCCTCTCATACCTGCTTTGTTGTTGGAATGAGTTTGATTTATGTTGCAGATTTTTTCAGGGAATAACAAAAGGCAGCATGCCCTCTAATCGATTCTCAGTGTTTGGACAATCTGGTTTGAGAAACCTTGGAACACGCACTTTGTTTCCAATATTTTTGATAGACTCTGGAAATGAAAAGGAAGTTGAGACTGGAAAGAATTCTAAATCCATGGACATTGTTAAGGATTTCTTGGATCGGACAATTGTCTAAGGATTTCTTGGGCATCATCATTCAAAGCACATATCAAGAATATGTACACCTTTGACACTTGAGCTAGTTTGTAATTTGTTAGTGTAAATGGGTTGGGCTGGTTGGAACTTAGAATGTCCGGATAAATCTCACGTAGTTGGGAATAAATTTGTAACTTTGTGATTATCAGAGCAATAGACTGACCAATTTAGTTGCAGTTGTTCTGGTTTTTAATTGTTGGTGCTATGTGTTTGTTGCATTGTTGTTCAATTATTCTCTAATTTGGGTGATGCTGTGGTTTTTGTTACTTAATTACGTTGTGAAAATGATGTTTACATTACAAGATCAATAGAATTAAAACACCACCATTTGAAATGGTAACAAATGTGTTATCTCATTACATAATAGTTGTATTGGTGGCAATTTCTTTAGATAAGTTAAGTTCAAGAATTCTTGTATAGGATGAAGGCATTGAAGGGTCTTCAAAGTACACAGAAAATTCTTGTACTATACGATTTTTATGCCAATGCTAGAATACTTTTTATGGATTTTTAATTTTTATAGAAGTAGAATTATATATTATATATCTAAACATTATAGCAAAATTACAATAACATTTAGGAGTAACCTAATCGGTTAAAGAACTACAAGCAAAGAAACTATTTTTTTTTTTAAGTTAGATTCAAATTTAGAAGTGATTCAAATTTAAAATGACATTAACAAGCTTATGCCGAGAAGTCAATAGGACACTTCCACAGAAAAATTAATTTATGAAAATTACGCTGTATTTATAGTGATATGATACTTGCTAAGAGCATCCACACTAGTGGATAATATGGGGTTAATGTAAGAAGAAAAAATTTGGGTGGGATTATTTATAGATGTGTGGTGGGGTTAATACTATAATTATTTCTCCTACAAATGATAAAATATTTCTCTTCCCAAGGGAAGAGAAATATCAGGAAAGATAAGCAAACGCGCACAGCAGCCAACCACACGGGGCGCGTGCAATGCAGGCGCTAGGGCTGGGCACTTCGGGTTTCGGTTCGGTTTTGTTCAGTTTCGGTTTCGGTTTCAGTTTTTCGGTTTTAAAAAAATTAAACCATTCGGTTTAAAATAGAGTTCGGTTTCGGTTTGAAAAGTTCGGTTCAGTTCGATTTCGGTAGAAGTCCACTAAATAAACGTTTCCTTTTTTACTTGCCCGATTGTTCAGTTGGCTCACTTGGAGTGCCACTTGAAGTGTTTTGTTGATGACAATATAAAGAATCACCCATCTATAGTTAATATTTGAAAAATAATTATTATTAAAATGCCAAATGTTGAGACTTACGACTTAGAGTTGAGATCTGAGGACTTGAGAAGTTAAAATTATTAATTATTATAGGTAAAATGGCACTTTTTCCCCCTGAGTTATATAGTTATAGCATTTTCCCCCCTGAATTATTTAAGTGGCTTTTTTCCCCCTAAAATGTTAAATGGACATATTTACCCTTAAAATAAATATTTAAAATAAATATTTCATTTATTTTTCTTCTCCAACAAATTATTACTATAATTTGGTTTAAACCAAACAGATACTATAGCAATCAAACCAAAATATTCCAATTACAATTTATAATCAAAACGCGATATTTAAAGTTTATTAAAATCGCAAATCGGAATGGTCGGTTCATGTTTTGAACTAAAAAAATAAAATACATTTATTGTTGAATTTAGAATATTTTAAAATAAATACGGTTCAAAATCGCGAACCGGATCCGGAACTGCCGGTTCACGGTTCATGATCTAGTTTTTTTTTTATTCTTAAATTTAATAAATTGAAATCCAAATATTGGGTTCTAGATCTGAATCATAAGTCATAACCGAAAACTTTTAATTCGATTGCTATAGTGTCTGGTTAAGTTCGAACCGAATCGTGGTAATCGCTACATATACGCAATAATTTGTTGGAGAAGTAAAATAAATAAAATGTTTACTTTAAGGGTAGAAATGTCAATTTAATATATTAAGGGGAAAAACTACCACTTTTAAAATAATTGAGGGGGCTAATGTGCTTACATAAATAATTGAGGGGGAAAAGTGCTATAAATATATAACTTAGGGGAAAAAAGTGTCATTTTCCCATTATTATAATATGTATATATAATACTAGCATTTTGTACGAGTGATGCGTGAAAATTTATGCCCAACATTAAAAAATTGATAAATGCAAATAATTACAAATTATAGTTCAAATTATATTTCGCAAAATCCTTAAATTAGAAAATTTTAATCATCGTATTTGAAAACTATAGAGATGATGAACAAAATTGATATTTTGTTTATTAATAATGTAAACAATTTTGATATAATTTATACTTTGTTTTTACAATAAATAAAATATATATAATACTAACTAGTAACCGGTCACATATATTGGTGCGTGTGTGTGTCTATATATATATACACACATATATGATTTACTATTCATAGAAACTTAATTAAAATATAATCAACAATTAAACTAATTATATAATGATTTTAATAAAATGATAATTAAAGAATAGGGAAAAGATATCATAGATAATTAGATATAGGTGTATGATAATAATGATAGAATTATGAAAGTTTTAGAATTAAATAATAACGGTGTTATAACGGTATAAGGGTATTTTAGTCTAACAATAATGTAGTAGGAATAATTTTGTCTATTACAATTGAAGTTTACAACATTTAATTAAACAATATATGCATTTATTAACATACAAATGTAAATATTAACACAAATGTACCTTTAGCTTAATGGGTAAAGCTCTTAACTTCAAACTTGGTAGTTAAGGGTTTAAACCTCACTTAAGACATTTAAGTATATTGTATATATTTATTATATATAAAAAATAAAAAAAACCGATCGGTTCTTCGATTCGGTTCGACCTGAACCGAACGGGTTACCCAAACCGAGTACTTACTTCGGTTCGGGTAAACCGAACCGAAATGCCCAGCCCTAGCAGGCGCGCCTGACCATGTTTTTTTTTCTTCTTCCCTTCCCACATTCTCTTCTTCCCTTCCCACATTCTCTTTACATTATCTCCCAATCCCACATTCTCTTTACATTATCTCCCAATTCTCCCCAACCACTGTGGATGCTCTAAAAGTAAGCATTATGAGGTCGTTTGGTTCACGGAATGTCAGATTACCTTAGTGAATGTTAGATTACTAGGAATGTTAGATTCCTGTGTTTGGTTAAAATTGGGGTATGTAATATAATCATGTTTGGTTTAGGGTTATCTTTTATCCACACACTATAATATCCTTAACATATTTTTATATATTTTAATAAATTTGAAAATTAAAATAAATAAATAAGATAACAATATCACATATAATTACATAATTTTAAAATATTAACTAAAATCTTGAACTTGAGAAACAAAATTATTTTATATGCTAACCTAACATAATAAAAATAAAAAATATATAATTACAAAAATAAGTATATATATATATATATATATATATATATATATATATATATATATATATATATATATATATATATATATATGTTTGTGTGTGTGCGTGTGTATATATATAAAATAAACTAACATAACCAAGGTTATTTTACATAACCTTAGAAATTGAAGGGAATCACATTCCCTTCAAAATCCTATGCGGAGGGAATGTGACATTCCTTGGGAATGTTAGATTCCCTGAGATAATATGAACCGAACAGAGGATGTGAGCTTTGGAATGTCACATTCCCTTGGTTATGTTATATAACCTGAACCAAACGCCCTATAGAATAAAAGAGATAATTCCAGCATTAGTCCTCCGACTATCATGGTTTTTCACAATCCTTGACTTTTAATTTGGACAATTTAGACCCTTGACTATCAAAAAGTTTCCGATGTTAGTCCTTCCATTATTATGTGGTTAAGTGAACGTTAAAATGAAGGCTAAAACTGTCTTTTAACCCCCTAACGTATTTTCCAACAAAAAAACACTTCCTTCTTCTCCGGTCAATCTCCGTAGAATCTGTATTTCTGATTCGGTAGCTGATCTCAGTGTTAGCTATAGCAAACGCCACTACCTATGGTGACAGTGTTGGAGGTGGAGCCGCCGAGTCTGTTGAGGTACGTGATTGGAGCCGCCATCATGATGGCCGGCGTCGTTTTGCCTCTCGGCTACATGATGTTCCGCAACAAGTGTGTATCTTCCTCTTCTTACTCCAAACAGACGTAGGAACAAGGTTTTGATATAGAGGTGTGCAAGAGGAAACTCAGGAAAGTGTCAAAAGCTTCTTTTTTTATGCTTTGATGGGGGTAGCAAAGAGGTGGGAGGAGAGCTCTGCTGCATATTATTGTAAATGCATTAAAATCCATTTTGTAGTGTGTTCAATTGATTAGACATTTCAATGGATATGGGTGTTGATTCCTAGAGTTTTAGTTTGGTTATGTTTTCATGACTGGGGTCACATGATGGCTCTTACTGCTACTGATCAAATAAGAAAGAAAGAAATTATTGATGTTTAACCGTGAAAAAACAAAAACAAAAAAAAAACATCCATAGCGTATGATTTCTCCCGACCTCGCCGCCGGGGAAAAGGAAGCGGTTATGACCATGGCGGAAAAGGAGAGGGAAGAAAGGACGCGTGGGTGATGATTAGATGCGACTGCGAATACGGCGTCAGTGGCGATGTGAAAGAGCCGCCGTCGCCACCCCCAGTGAGGAGAGAGCCCAAGGCGGTGGACGAAGATCTAACATCCATAGCGTATACGCGATTGATGGAGGTCGCTGCTCACTGGAGATGGATGTCGTCGGACCTGCTGCCTTCGCCGGGAAGAGGGCCAACCGCCGTTGCTGTTGACGAGAGAGGGAGGGAGGAGCAAAAACGAAGGTTCAGCAGCCGCCGCCCACCTGCTACGCCGGAGCTTGCCTTCTGTTGACCGATCTCGCCGGAGGAGAAGAAGATGTTGCAGGATCTACTATCATCTCTGTTTCGCCGGATCCACTGCCATCTCTGTTTTTAAACTACTGTGGTTCTCTGTGATTGCTGGCAAGGAAAGAAAATTTAAGGCTAGGGGGAGAAGAAGCTGAGGGGGAGTGAAGAAGAGTGAGGATGGAGGTGGCGATGGCTTTGGTGGCCGTTGATGGGGTTGCCTCTTGCCGCCAAAGAGAGAGAGATGGTGATGGTGGGTGAAGCCGAGGGAGAGAGAGAGCAGATACAAAGGTTTTTTTTTTTTTTTTTTTTTACCGTATATGGAGTTTAATAGTGTATACGGAGGAGATACATATACATGATGTATTATATGCAAGGGACATAAAAAGACTTTTCTAACCCTCATTTTAATGTTTATTTAACAGCATTATAACAGCAGGATCAATATTGAAAACTTTTTGATAGTCAAGGGTCTAAATTGTCCAAATTAAAAGTCAAGGATTAATTGTGGAAAATCATGATAGTCAGAGGACTAATGTTGGAATTAACTCTAGAATAAAATGATTATTGGAAACCTAAAGGTCTCCTACGCATTACTCAATAGCAGCGCTGCTAATCTGCTATGGTACTTTAAGCACTATTGAATGATTTAAACCAAAAGAGTAGTGCAATTATGTGCCTATGTCTACCTAACCCAATCTTGGGAAATCAAAGGTTATAAACCCATGCGCTGCTATTAAGGTTGTAGAAAGACAAAAATTTAATAGTTTCTTCGGGCAAGAATTGTGAGAGAAATAATGTCGAAAAACGTCTCAAGTCAAGACCATACCTCTACTGGTGTTTGCTCTGTTTACTCTATTTTTCCATAATACTTTGTGTATACATTGTTGGAACTACTTATTTGATAACTTTTGTTTTGGCAGATGCAGTCAGTTGGGTAAGAGACATAGCACCCTCACATTATGTACTGAGGATTGAATCATTCTCCAATCTTACCAAGATGATGTCCGAAGGGGATGCCAAATTTTTCAAGTCCAAACCGTTCGAAGCTAGTGGTTATAAATGGTTGAGTTTAATTTTTATTAGTAGTCAAGTTTGTGGTTGTAATGATCTTTAATTTCATTGCTGAAGTGAGTTTCTTTGTGGTGGCAGGATATTCTCTATGTATCCCAATGGTGTTGGTGATAGTAAAGGGCACATTTCTGTGTTTTTGTGTATTAAAGATACAGATGCATTGCCTTTGGGTTGGAAGATATACGCAGATTTAAAGTTTTTTATATTTGATAAGAAGCATGACAAATATTCGGTTTTCCAAGGTTGTTTTTGTGTCTTTCTAATAAATTGGATTTGGTTCAGAGAGTCATTAGTATTGCTAATATTGTTCTTTTTGATATTCAGAAGGGGGTATAAACACGTTTCATTGTTTGAAACCAGAATGTGGTATATCAAAATTGGTACCTCGTGCTGTGTTTGATGATACTGCAAATGGGTATTTAGTTGATGGCATGTGTGTTTTTGGTGTTGAAGTTTTTGTGCTACATTCTAAGTTTGTAGAACAACATCTATGCCCTTCAGTCAAAGTAAGTAAAACCTACACTTGGAAGGTATCAAGTTTTAGTAATATGGACAGCAAAAGTTGTTATTCAGATAAATTTACTGCAGCTTCCTTCCAATGGTAGGTATTTTTATATAGTGTTCAAGATTGTTGTTTCGTAATTATTTTAATTTTAAGTTTTAACATGTTCTTTTATCTTTCAACAATTTTCGTAGGAAATTGAGACTCGATCCTCAGGGACAGAATAGTAACAAGTCTAATGGGCTGAGCCTGAGTTTGTTTCTGGAGCTTGTTGATCCCGGAATTACTTCTAACGGGCTGTTTGTACATTTCATATTACGCATTATAAATCAAAAGTCAGGGAAACATCGCGAGATGCAATGTATAAGTTACATATGTCATATAAGTGTGCCATTTTAGATGTTTGTTTACTTTTTAATGTTTTGTTTAATTTTGTAGATTGTTGTTGCTTTGCTTCTGGATCTTTAACATGGGGCTGGGATGCGTTTATGCCGCTGGCTGATCTTCAAGATTTATCTAATGGCTTCCTTGTTGATGATTGTATTATGATTGGAGCATGTATCAAGAATGTGTCTGCCCTTCTGTAGCTAAACTAATGGTAACTTATTATGCGTGCGGGTTGGGATTAAATTTGGATTGTACTTTGTTTCTAATTTTATGGATTTGGTTTTTTTTTTTTTTTGGTTGAAACTGGTAGTTAAGTTTTGTAACACCACATTGGAGCTTTTGCCATGATTTTGCTATTAAATGTGGTAGCTTTGTGTTAGTATTGTGCCTTGTTAGTGCTTTGGTTCATTATTTTGTGATGCGGTGATGTGCAATTTTGTTGAGAACCCTAATCTAATCTAAAAATTAATTAATAAATATAATTGGAGGTTATATCCTTCATTTATATTTGTTTTTTAGTGCCGTGGTTTAGTGAAATGGACTTGTTCATTTTTTTTTTATTATCAAAGATCAATAGTTCAATTCTTGACTTTGGATATGAAACAATTTTAAATCTGCAGGTCAATTGTCTCACCCAAAAGAGGTGCTTACAATGTGACGGATTAGGTATTTAGGTAATTCAGTTTTTTACTGCAAGCTAGTGAAGAATGAATAATTATTAAATGGTATTTATTTTGGCATTGCATTATTTGAAAACTAACTCTTAATGATATTTTAATTTTACTGTACTATGTAACCTTCCAAAAAAAAAAAGAGCAAAATCTCCTAAATATCGTATCTTCATTCGTGATACTAGTCTAATTTATATATATATATATATATATATATATATATATATATATATATATATATATTACACTTCCCTAATAAGTTTATAATATTTTCATTGTAAATAATCCTTTTTAGTACTAGTGACTTGTGTCTCTGTTATCTATATAGGTACAAAGAGGGAATAGAATTGATTACCTTTCATTTGTGAGAGTCACTTCATGTTACTAGACTCGACTACAATTTTATTGACGCTTTTAAAATATTATTATTCCACATGTCTCATTTTATCTGTCATACTTATTATTTATTGATCAAAACAACTATTTATTCTTTGTTTATTTTCTTTTGTATTATTTACTTATTTTTAATTTTAATTTTTTGTGTTTAATAGTATTTTTAATGTAGTTTCTAAATATATAAATTTTGTATACTAATACTAATTTGAATATTATAAAAATTGAATTAAAAATAACTTCAGTCGAACCTTATTAACCGAATGAGACAGATGTAGTATATTTTTCCTCAAAAGTAAGAGACAATTTATTACATTGGCCCCGACCAATCTCATAGACAAAAATCCATAGAACGGTCTCACACTCTCACATGATACCTCACCCATAATGAAATTAGACTAAATGCCGGTCCTTAGGGTTGGGGATTCAACCTTTTGGGAGAAAATAAGACTAAATGCCTAAAAGATTATTATGATCACTCATACTTCACTTTCATAAAATAAGAGTTTGGAGTGCGATTTAACATATAATTTTTCCTGTGGCAAATAGAAACAAGGATATAAACAAAACCAACACCACTTGCATAAACTAAACCACAAAATAACAAAGCTAAGGCATCACAAATCACAAATATTAACACAGATCAGAGCTAGTTGAAATAACAAAATCATGTCAAAAGCTCAAATATAGCATTAGTTCTTCCCCCTAAACTTAGCAGAAACTAGTACACCACAATATTTCTAAAAGCCTTCCAGAAGATCGAGGTTTAGCTTGTGATGGTGGACACATTCTTGATAAGTGCCTCAATGATAATACAATCGCCAACTAGGAAGCCATTCGATGAATCCCGGAGTTCAGTTAGCGACATAAAAACAGAACTGCCCCAGCCTAAAGATCCAGGAGCAAAGCATCTACAAACTACAATTTTAAACATACATATATGATTGAAGAGAAATCATTCATAAATTAACAAATAATTAGAATGGCACACATACACTACTTCACATACGTTGCATCTCTTTATGTTTTCCAGACTTCTGATTTCTCATGCGTAGCAAGAAATATACCAACAGTCGAGAACAGGTATTTTGTGGATCCAGCATCAGATACACAGCAAGGTTTTCCCCATAGGATTTGCTATCTCCAAGGGAGTCCAGTCTCAACTTCCTGATGAAAATTGTTGAAATTTTTGATAATCATAAATGGGATTACAAACAAAAATATATATAATTAAAAACTTAATTACCATATGAGGGAGCCTGCAGTAAATTTATCGGAATAACGAGTTTGACTGTTTAATTTACTGTACTCAGATACTTTCCAAGTGAAGGTTTTATCAACTTTCAAGGCTGGCTTCAAATATTCTCTGGTAAACTTAGAATCAAGCACGAAAACCTCAACTCCAAACACGCATTTGTTATTAACAAGATAACCGTTTGCTGCATCATCAAACACATCACGAGGGACCAATTTCGTGATGCCACACTCTGGTTTCAATCTATGAAACCTGTTAACTACACCACCTAAAACACAAAATGAACAGTACCATATTCTCCATTAGCAATAATAAAAATTTTGCATTCTGGGCAATATCCAATCCAAAAGACACCAAAAATTAACCTTGAAAGATTGAGTATTTGTCACGCTTATGATCAAATATTAAAAACTTCAAATCTGTGTATATCTCCCAACTCAAAGGCAATGCATCTGTGTCTTCAATACACAGGAAAACAGAGATGTGTCCCTTGCCATCACCCTCACCATTGGGATATAAAGAGAATGTCCTGTTATTAAAAAACACATCTCTTTAGCAGTGAAATTGAACAATATAACTCGTATATATAAACTTCACTACTAATTTAAGTCAGCAGCATTTTAGTTTATAGAATATCTTAATTGGTTCAACAACTACACTACTCAATAACACAATAAGTTAACCATAAATTAAAAGCTCGACTGGGGCAATTTAGGCTGGTTTAGTGGTTTACGTCATCTTTTGCTAGCTAAGATCAAGACAAGTCGGGTTTACTCGGTATACACTCACTAGTAGTGGTTTAGCTTTCCCTAGTCACTAAAAACTATGAATGGCAATGGGTGGGTTGGGTGGAGTTCTATGTTAATTTTGTACATATAGAACCTGAATCCAACCCGATAACCGTGAGTTTACTATTTTAAGACCCCCACTATCACCCAAAAAATTCGATCCATGTGATATGAATTCGGGTGGATATCCACGGGCCAATTGAAATTACTATCCCTACTAAAACAAACAAACAAACAAACAAGAGAGGGGGAGAGAGTTAAGAAGCCAAACCATTTGTAACCACTAGCTTCAAAGATTTTGGACTTGAAAAACTGGGTTCCATTGTCTGTCAGCATCTTAGTAAAACCGGAGAATGATTCAATCTCCAACATGTAATGGGACGGTGCTATATCTCTTGCCCAGCTAACTGCATCTGCATAAACAATAAGTAACCCCAACATTATTATTACATACGCAAAAGAAATGTAAAGGACTGCTCATATTTTCTATAGTAAAATACAGTAAACAGATTATTAAAAAAAAAAAAAAAAAAAAAAAAGAGGCATGTTCTTCACTTGAAACGTTGATTGACATTATTGCTCTTCCAACTTTTTTCAAAGAAGAAAGAAGAGGGCAAGAGGAACTCTCTTGAAACCCAGTGCTCGGATTTTTAAACTGAATACAGTGAAATAGTGAATGAAGTCCTTAAAGCTGCGCTACAGCCTTGAAATGTCAGAAAAAAAAAAAAAAAAAAAAAAAAACCAATAATAATAAAGTCAATAGCAAAAAATATTGTTTTCGTATATTTTTTGTTTTTTTCGAAACCGTTTTTGTACCATTTTATGTGCTTGATTTATTTATTAAAGGAATAAGGGTCAAATAGGCTACTCAACTGCACACTAAAGTGTAATTAGGCTATTGAACTCAAAAAGAATGCAATTAAGCCATTGAACAACACAAAAACATGCAATTTAGTCAAAAATGACTTGTTTACCTAGAGTAACAAGTTACCAATTTCAAAATTAATTTTTTAAAATAATTTTTAATAAATAAATAATTAAAAAAAAAAACAGAAACTGCCGGCCGGAGACGAATCGTCTTCGATCGCCTACGTCTCCGTCGCCGGAGACGGACCTCCATCTCCAGCCATGGAGACGAAGGACGTCGTCTCCATGGTCGGAGACGAATTCGTCTCCATGGCCGGAGACGATTCGTCTCCATAGCCATGGAGACGAAGGTCTTTGTCTCCATGGCTGGAGACGGAGGTTCGTCTCCGGCCATGGAGACAAAGCCTGCCGGAGACGATTCGTCTCCGGCCGGCAGTTTCTGTTTTTTTTTTTGTTTAATATATATTTTAATTATTTATTTATTAAAAGTTATTTTATTAAATTAATTTTGAAATTGGTAACTTGCTATTCTAGGTAAACAAGTCATTTTGGACAAAATTGTATGTTTTTGTATTGTTCAATGGCTTAATTGCATTCTTTTTTAGTTCAATGGCCTAATTGCACTTTGGTGTGCAGTTAAGTGGCCTATTTGACCCTTATTCCTTTATTAAATAGTGTTTTACTAGTACGATACTTAAAAACTTTATATTATTATAAACTAGTATTTTCACCCGTGCGATGCACGGAATGGAATTGTTGTAATATACTAAGAATATTTAAATTGATATATAATTATTTAAGAGTTAATTTTACCAGATGTCGCTTATAGGATTTCTATTACCATCATTAATTATCCCTAATTTACCATAATTAAATAATTTGACCAATTATAAAGAGAGATTATTAAAAAAAATGCACGGGACAATTTTTTAATTAAAAAATTTAAAAATTCATTAATAAAACATAAGGTTCTCATAGTTTTTTCTTAGAAACTATTTAATAAAGCATTTTTTTAGAAAGTGGTGGGCCAAACTGCCTACGGCAGTTTGCGGTGGATATATCTCGAAAAAATACACAATTTCAAAAAAACATTTGTCCAAAACGGACAACCGAGTCAAAAGTTATGCATTGCCGAACTTTTGACACTTCACAGCTTTTACCCAGAATTATTATACGAATGGGAAAGTAGAAATCAATATATTTTATTGGAAAGAGAGATTTTTTAGGAATTGGGCGGGAAGTTAAAATTTCAGGATTTTGTTATTATATATAGTATAGATTAGATGTGCAAAGAGAATTGTATTACACTATTTTATAATTTTAGAATAGAATTTTTACCCAGAATTATTGTACGAATGGAAAAGAAGAAATCAATATATTTTATTGGGAAGAGAGATTTTTTAGGAATTGGGCGGAAAGTTAAAACTTCAGGATTTCATTTTTGTATATAGTATAGATTAGATGTGCAAAGAGAATTGTATTACACTATTTTATAATTTTAGAATAGAATTTTTACCCAGAATTATTGTACGAATGGGAAAGTAGAAATCAATATATTCTATTGGGAAGAGAGATTTTTAGGATTTGGGCGGGATGTTAAAATTTCAGGGTTTTGTTTTTATATATAGTATATATTAGATGTGCAAAGAGAATTGTATTACACTATTTTATAATTTTAGAATAGAATTTTTACCCAGAATTATTGTACGAATAAAAAAGTAGAAATCAATATATTTTATTGGAGAAAATTTCAATTTTGGTCATACGACTATAGGGGCCTTGTTAATTTCAACACCTAACTTTCAAAAGTATCAATTCAGTACCTTGAGTATATAATTTTTCTCAATTTTGATCATTCCGACCAATTTACCGGTCAAATTCGACCGGAAAAAATAATAGGCACAAAACTGAGGGACAAATGAGTCTTTTCCTCCTCCTCTCGGCTGCTTCATCTCGGCTTCATATTCTCCTCCGTCGTCGCCGACCACGACCGCCCTGATCAGCCGCGACAGGTGTGAATGAGAGAATTAATCCAATAGCCCGAATGCAATCGAACACCAAACAAAGTTCTAAGAAAAATGAAAAAAAAAAAAAACATATTAAGAACTTAGTTCACATACAAAAACAGAAAAGATTTTTAAAAAAATGTATACTGAAAGGGTTAAATGAGCGAACACCCAGAACAAGTTTCAATATGCAATCAACCACAAATCCAGAAAACCTCACACCTAGAATCTACTTTAAGAGTGCATAGCATACATAATGACAGTACTAAATGTTGAATATAAAGAGCAATACCCAATGGTTTTGCATAAAGATAGAGAGAAAAAAGTAGTTACCAAGATCTGGTTTGGATTCAGGGTGAGAAGGGTCTTGGTCCGGGGACAGATTATTGGCAGTTTTGGACTGTAAACAGCCCATTTCTTCTTCTTTACATAGACCACACTCACAGCAGCAAACCCACTACACCCTCGCTTAGTGTATACGTTTCTTGCTCCCCTCTTCTCAGCTCTGTATATTTTTTTTTTCTCGAGTGTGAAAAAGGGAAGCGGAAAGGTTGATTCTTTTTGTGGGCTATTGAAGTCAACGGCGGAGGAGAAGATGATCAGGGCGGTCGTGGTCGGCGACGGCGGAGGAGAAGATGAAGCCGAGATGAAGCAGCCGAGAGGAGGAGGAGGAAAAGACTCATTTGCCCGTCAGTTTTGTGCCTATTATTTTTTCCGGTCGAATCTGACCGGTAAATTGGTCGGAATGATCAAAATTGAGAAAAATTATATACTCAAGGTACTGAATTGATACTTTTGAAAGTTAGGTGTTGAAATTAACAAGGCCCCTATAGTCGTATGACCAAAATTGAAATTTTCTCTATTTTATTGGGAAGAGAGATTTTTTAGGAATTGGGCGGAAAGTTAAAATTTCAGGATTTTGTTTTTATATATATAGTATAAATTAGATGTGCAAAGAGAATTGTATTACACTATTTTATAATTTTAGAGTAGAATTTTTACCCAGAATTATTGTACGAATGGGAAAGTAGAAATCAATATATTTTATTGGGAAAAGAGATTTTTTAGGAATTGGGCGGGAAGTTAAAAACAAACTTTATATTATTATAGATTTAAATAAAAATTAGAAAAAAAAAATGTTAAAATGTATAATATATTAATACAATTAAACTTCCATATATTTGAGAGAAAAATTATATATTTTATTAGCATACAAAATTAAAATTTTGTATAGTTAATAGTCTTTTTTTTTTTTTTGTTACAGAGAGAGGGGTCCTAGTTAATATAGTCTTTAATCTTACATATTTAGATAGATTTGTAGATAATATTTAGATAATTAAATTAATTTATTCCTAATTATATTGCATATATATTATAATTCCTACAATATAAATAATACTCTGTAACTAAGAGAATTATATTTAGAAATAAAAAAGTGGAAATTTTAAATTTGTATGAGTGAATTTTAAACTATAATATAATGTATTTCCTTATATGATTGTATAATACGTTGTATATGCACATAATATTTGTTAATATTATTGTTTTACCCGTGCGATGTACGGAATAAATTATATTATTATGAATGAGATCATCATTTTGGTCTTTCAATTATTTTTCAACTGTCAATGTAGTCTATATTTTTCAATTTCAACTAATTTGATGTTCGAATTGTTTAAGATTTCATCAGTTAAACATTTCGATTATCAAATTGAGAAATTTTTACATTGAGAAAATCAAGATTTTGGTCCCTCGAAAAGATTTAATTGACAAAATTTTAAACAATTCGAAGATAAAAATTAGTTGAAATTTAAAATTATTTACTACATTGACAGTTATGAAACAATTGAGAGACCAAAATGGTGATTTTACCTTATTATGAATTGAAATGAATATTTAGAAAAAAAAATGTAAAGATATTAAAAAGTATAATATAATAATATATGCAGTTGAACTTCCATATATTTGATCAAGCATCTATTTTCATGACTTACAAAATTAAAATTAAAATTTTGTATCGTTAATATAATCTAAAATCATGACGATATTTAGATAAATTTATAGATAAAATTTACATTATTAAATTGATTTATTTCTAATTATATTTCATATATGTTATAATTCAACAATATGAATAATAAGTAAAAATAATATTATATTTAAAAATCTAAAAAGATGTAAATTTTAAATTTTGTATGAATAGATTTAAACTATAATATGATGCATTTTCTTATATGATTATATAGTAAAATGAATTCCCTATTATGTAGCGGGAGCGGATTGGTGCACTCTATTCCCTCATGCAACGGTCCATAACCATGACGTCATTACTTCCGACCATTCTGCTATATTTGTTGAAGTCCACAATGTTCGGATGGCGAAGCAGCGACGTACTTTCTTATTTGAAAATGCCTGGCTCTCAGAGGTAGGATGCAAAGAAGTAGTGTTAGGTGCATGGAATGCATCGATGGCAGAAACAATACCAAAGAGGCTTTCTCACTGTGGTGTCTTATTAAACGCTTGGGGTGGTAATTTTGCAAAACAAGCCGAGAAACAAATAGTCCAGGTTCAAGCCAGAATAAACATGCTTCGTAATAGGACTGATTCAGCAGGTTTGACGGAGGTCCGTGAACTAGATGCCAAGCTTCATTCTCTAAATGATCAATTAAACACCTTTTGGCGTCAACGAGCAAAACAGTTCTGGCTAGTTGGGGGTGACAGAAATACCAAGTATTTTCACCTGTATGCCTCGACACGAAAACGAAAGAACCTAATTACTAAGCT